TAAGGCATGAGGACCAGAAACTAGAAGCATTTGGCCTGGTTAAGCATTTGGCTGGTTAAGCATTCAAGCTTTTAAGCAGCAGTTCAGCTGAGAGCCATTAAGATGAGGACACAGAAGCTTCCAGTCTGAGGAAACAGGACCAGCTGAGGAATTGGCAACGTGAGATAGCTGTGGCTTGTTCTGTCTCTCTGACCTTCCAGTATTCACCCCAATAACTGGCGTCAGGTTTGATTTTATTAATAAGAACTTTTAAGATTCCTGCTACATCTGGCGCCCAACGTTCGTGTTACGAATTCATGAAAAAGCTTGTGGCCTTGTGAGCCCCAGCTCAGGCCCAAGCTACACTCATCCATTTGTGGTGGTGCATGCTGGTAGGATTTGCTGAAGGAGACAGAGGCAGGAGGATCCTGAGTTTGAGCCCGGCCTAGGAGGTTTGGGAGAAGCTTTGGCCTGGACTGAGCCACAAACAGCAGTGGGACCATGGAAGTAGTGGCTACTGCTCCACATTGCCAGCTCCTTCTCATCGTGTTGGTGACTGCAGTGATGCTGCTACTTGAGACAAAGAGTTTACTGCTACTGGTTCAGAGAAGAATTGCCAGGACCATGGTGTTACAAGAAAGCATCGGCAAAGGTCAGTTTGGAAAAGTCTGGCAAGACAAATGGTGGGGAGAAATTGTTGTGAAGATTGTTCTAGGGAAGAATGTTCATGGTTCCGAGAGACAGACATTTATCAGACTGTGATTGCTCCAAACCACAGAGCAGGCACAAAATAAAAAAAAAAGTCTGCATGGAACCATGACCACACCTAACAGCAACTTTGAAATCTTCAAAAGGACTATGGTAAACCATTAAGCTGATTAACACCACGGAAAGATCTGCTTTGGACTACAAACTGCTTAGGACAATTTTGAGATGGCTAGCTGAGATGATCCAGCCTGACAGACTACTTGAACAAGGACTTGAAACAAGCCCTGAACTTTCCTTTTATGCAGAGACTGGACAAATGATACAGGTCTTGACAAGTAACCCAAAAATTTTCTTTTCAAGATTCCCTAAAGGTATCTTCACCCCTAGAAAACAAAAAGAAAAAGAGAATAAGATATGAGATAGATCATTGAATTTACTCTGAGAAAAAAGATAAAGAAATAATAGGATAAACAGGTAGATCATTGATCTACACTGAAGAAAAAGGGGAAGATATAAAAATGACAAAAGGTAGACTACTGAATATATTATGAAAAGAAAAAAGAGATAATATGGATATAATAAGATAAAAAGGGAAATTATGGAATCTTCTTTTAAAAAGGAACTACTTGTTTTAAATAAGGTAAGTAATGAAAATTTTTTGGTCTGAGTTTATCAGACGTTACTGGACTGGACATTGTTAATATATATAATGGAGTTTTTCTCTGACTCTGTCAAATGTTAATGGACTAGACATCATTAATGTAATTTTTGGCTGTATATATTGTATATACTTATTGGATAATTTTTCTTGTATTAGTTATAAGCTTTCTTTAATTTTAGACAAAAAGAAAGGAAATGTGGTGGTATTGTGTTCCCCAAAATATTGTGTACCTTAATAAACTTATCTGGGGTCAGAGAACAGAAAAGCCACTAGTTAGGCAGTGATAGCACACACCTTTAATCCTAGCATTCCAGAGGAAGAAATCCATCTGGGATCTCTGAGTTCAAGG